AATTTCATATTTCACAATTTCTCATATTCCATGAAATTTAAATAGAGAAGTTCGATTAGAGTTTGATAAGAGATTCTACGTTTCAATTAAATTGTGATATACGTAGATACACTGAAATAATATTTCATTCTTGATGTATTGGAATATTCTATATTCCATGAAATTTAAGTAGAGAAATTCGATTAGAGTTTGATAAGAGATTCTACGTTTCAATTAAATTGTGATATATGTAGATGATACACTGAAATAATATTTTATTCTTGATGTATTGGAAATTATTTAATATGATTAATCGAAAATTATTCTAGTACTCCAGAAAAATGAGGATTTTGGCATTAAATTCAATTTGCTTAGTCGCAATATTTGGTGTAAGTTTTTCATCAATCATGGCATTTTAATTAAGTGAATAACAAGTCAAGTTTCTGATTCTACTAGATTGCATCAGTTTTTGGAACAAACAGGGGAGTTTTTCCAGCAGTTCTCCTGTATGCTCGTCTAGATTTCACCAACGAGTGTACACGTGTAACCAAAATGTTGGATGCCACCTGTTACAACGTTTACAATATGCTTCGAGCTGGCTTTGCATATTACATGAACCCGTTGTTCCTTGCTCGAGCTCGTTTTAATGCGGCATATGCAGATTTCATTGCGCAGTCTGGACTTGATGCTGAACTTGTATCAACTTTCACAACTACTGTAGACAACACGATTGAAACTTCTTTTGTTGTATTGGAACAAACTGGCCCACCAAGTTTTGAGGAAATGGTCTTAATGGGCTTTTCAATGTATATTAACGATGGACATGGTATGGGATGTGGCGGAACTTATTGTGCATATGCAATTGAAAGTAGTATGCAGTCTTCTTCGTTCTTTTCTATGTTGTCATATGCTATGGATAGTAATGGAATGCCCTATTCAGATGATTGTAAAATTCACATCATTCAGAAATTCTTAGAAGTATTCAAGGATAGAGCTGCAGAAATCATAATGATAATCGTTGATCGAATGGGAAGCATGCCAAATACCGCGACAGCAGTTTCAGATCTCATTTCGGAGATTATTGACCTTCTGAATCATTTAATTGACTTAATGAACAATTGTGATAACGACGTTTGTCTCAATGATTTAATTGCGTTCCTGGATAATTGCAGCAATAACTGTATTAACAATTTGCTAGACCAGTTAGGATCGGATTTTCCAATGGCGGTACAACAAGACGTATCTGACGTCATGAATGATATAGTAGGAAATACTGGATGGAATGATTTTGTCACACAGTTTGCAAGTTCTTGTCCATAAGAACCATAATGACAAAAACGTAACGCATATTTTTCCAAATCAATTTGCAAGATTTTTATGAAAGTAATGAAATTTTTTAAAGTGAAATAAACAAAAATTTCATATCATATCTTAGTTTTATTCTCATCGTTAAGAACTCTAAACTTATTTAAATATTACTTATTTAATATCAAGTTTTGTCAGAAAATGAAGTGTCTTTCAACTATTTTATGTCTCAATTTAGAATCCATTAAATCATTCCACGTTTTATTTGATTCAAATAAAAAATGAACTATTCTCAAGACACAGAATATCTAATATCAAATTGCATGAATAGTTAATTTTCTTGATAACTCAAAAACCTTTGAAGTTTAAATAATCATGGATATGATCTCATTGCGAATCCATCATAAAAGTTTTGAAGAAATCAAAAAAGAAAAAAGTCTACAACAATGTTCATCGCTGTATGAAAAATGTTATCTCCGAAGTTTTTCAGATGAAATGTTATTTAGGTAGAACAGATCTGTCATTTAATTAATATATATAATCGTTATACCTATAACCATTTCAACGGGCGATTACTAAGTAGAGTTTCTATATTCTTCTTTATGATAGTAAAACGTGTCATTTGTCTACGTCATTATTAAAAACAAAATTCTTCTGACAGATATGACGATAATTTAACTCAATACAAAGTGTATTAGGTATTATTAGTGAATCCAAAGTGAATTATTATACATACATGAATTTTATTTATCAAAGAGAAAAATTATTTCTCTTATGGTAACAAGAAAGAAAAAAACCTTTCTGAGGTGATTATTCTCAAAGTTGCTATATAAAAGAAGGAATTGATAAAAAACCTTTTAGTGTTTCGATAACTCTTCAATTAATCACTAAAAAGTTTCCATTGCTTGCCTATAGGTATAATTGAGTTTTCAAAAAAAAAATTCTGTCTTGAATATATCAGATAATAATTTTAATTTATTTATCGGCGCGAAAAAAGTTGA